ATCTGGCTCAGGAGCTCTGGTGGGGAGCAGTAAGGGGCAGGAAAGACAGGGTTCTGTGTCGGGAATTGTCTCTGAAGATTGACTTAGCTTGTGGCTGCCTGTGCACCGGTTCTGGCTTCAAGTCACTGTAGTTTCTGTCTTGGGGTCTCTGGGTTCTGTTCTCCCTAGCCCCAGGACCCCCTGCTGGGTCCTCCCCCCACTTTCTTCCTCTTATAGAACAGCAACAAAGCACAGCGTTCTCCTCCCCCCCCCCCCAATGGCAGGTCTCTGTTTCTGAGGCTGCCTCCAGACTCCCGATAGGGGGAAGGATGCCTCTGAAGCTTTCTTCCAAGTCGTAGCTCCTTCTGGGCCTCAGTCTCTCCTCTATGGCCTGATCTTAGTACTTGGGTAAATTGTGGTTGGAGGGTGGTGGCTGTGACCTTTCCAAAATATCTTAGAAATGTGGGGGCATTGAACGTGTCTCTGGGGTTAAATAAACCCTATTACCCCAAATTAATGCCATGCCCACCTCAGGGATGGGGAAACGGAGTTGCAAATGGGTCCTGGTGCCTGCTCAAGGCTCTGCAGCTGGGAGCAGGATGTTAGCCAGCGGCGTCCCCTGGTGGACGGAGGCACGGAAGGGAGGCGGGGTGAACCCTGGATTCTCCTTGCCTTTCCCGCTGTTTCTCAGGCTCCTGGCCTGGTCGGGCTGGCGCTGAAGGGGTCTGCCTTGCCAGAAGCAAAAGAGGCATCTCTGCTTAAGTATCACGTTCTGTTCCCGCCTCCAGAAGCCTCAGTATCTCCCCCACCCGCCCCTCCTTCTGTGCCTGGAGAATTATAACAAGACCCAAGTCATCGAGCAGCACCCCCCCCGCCCCCCGGCTTCAAGAACAGCTGGCTCCATTCCTGAATAATTCCATTGATAATTCCATTCCACTGATAATTCATCATCATCACAAGTAATGATCAAATTCCACAAAAGGACAATTAAAATTCATCTGGGTCATGAACTTAGTACATTTCCTTCTGGACTTTTAAAAGGCAAAGATTTAGGGGCACCTGGGTGGCTCAGTCGGTTAAGCGTGGGACTCTTGATTTTGGTTCAGGTCATGATCTCAGGGTCCTGGGATGGAGCCCCACGTCGGGCTCACCCTCAGTATGGAGTTGGCTTGACATTCTCTCTCCCTCTGCCTCTGCCCCGCCTCCCATGTGCTCGCGCTCTCTCTCTCTCTCTCAAAATAAATAATAAAAGCTTAAAAAAAAAGTAAAAGGCAGAGATTTAGGGGATTTTTATTTGTAATGTTTTTCTCCCTCCCCTTTTAGTTATAAGTAATACGTGTTTACTGTAGAGAATTTGGAAATAATGTAAACAAATACAAAAGAAAATAAAATTCTGCTATAACCTCCCTGTAGATCATCTGCCTTCAGCGTTTCACCTTATTTCCCTCTGTTTCTTTCTTCACGGATTTATAAGAACATATGTGCCCCTTCAATCTGGGCCACAGGCATCTCTCCGTCTCCCTCTTACCGACTGCACTCCACCCATGCTGGCTTTCCATACCCCACACTGTGGCCCCACCTCAGGGCCTTTGCACATACTGTGCCCAGCAGATGGGTGGACCATCTGAAAGGAGGTGGGTGTCCATCAGAGATCTGCTCCTCCTCCACCCGTTGGATCTCAGCTCAGCATCTGCTCCCCTGCAAAGTCCTCCCAGATCCACCCCCCCCCAGGCTGGCACTGGTGGAAGTTCTCAGAGATTCTCTGATTCATGTCCACCACCCTCTCCACACCCTGATCCCCATAGGTCTGGGCCAGATCCACCACACCACCTTGGTATCCCCTAGAGATGGATATTGACAACTTCAAGTCTCTTAACTTCTCTAAGCTTTTATTGTTTCATGGGTAAAATGGGCTCTTTGTGAGGATCACATAATTGCCACAGGTAACATTTGAGAAGAGTGTGTCCTGAGCCAGGCACTGAGATGCCTTGCTGTTCCCCCTTTCTGGAGCATTGTTCCCTCACCTCTCCCTCTGGCCAGCTCCTTCTCGGTCAGGCTCCTGCTCAATGTCACTTCTCGAGGGAGGTCTGCCCTAACCTCCCGGGCCAAAGTCACCCTCTCTCCGATCATTCATTCATACATGTCATGCCATCACAGGGCACTTACTGTGTCCACAGGTCTAGGTGCTGGGGACACCAATCCCTGTCTCTCAGAGCTCTCAGATGGCTAATGGATAAATAAGTTAAATAATTATTTCTTTTCTTTCTTTTTTTTTAAGTAGGCTCCACATCCAACATGGAGCCCAATGAGAGGCTTGAACTCATGACCCTGAGATCAAGACTTGAGCTGAGATCCAGTGGGATGCTTAACTGATTGAGCCACCCAGGCGCTCCTCAAATAATTATTTCTGATAGGGGATGTGTCAGGAAGGAGAAATACGGTGATGTGATAGGGAGGTGACATGAAATTGGAACCTCTGAAAGGAGGTGGGTGTCCATCAGAGATCTGAAGGGGATGAGTGAGCCAGGTTTAGAAGGAGGTTGGGGAACAGTGCTCCAGGCAGAGGGAACAGCAGGTGCAAAGCCCCTGAGGCAGGATTGCACCTGAACCAAAGGGAGCATCTAACTGGAGGAGCAAGATGAGATGGGGAGGTAGCTGTTGGGAAGTGGGCGGCTAGGGGGCCTGGGGCTCTGAGGCGGAGTCTGGCCTTTACTTTGAGTGGGGTGGGACTTGGAAGGGTTTAAGGCCTTTCCCTCATCAGCTCTGGTGTCCCGCGCTGTGCAGCAGTTCCTCATTCAACCATCCCTAATTCTGGAGTGGAATGCTGATTCTGAACAATAAAGGCCTTGCATTATTTTTACTTCAAAATACAAATCCCTCAGTGCTGCAGCTGATGCGCATTGTTGTAGGCCTTTCCCCTTGGGGGGGGGGGGGGAAAAAAAGGGTTTTTTTTTTTTTTTTTTTTTTTTTTAGATTTTATTTTTTTTTTTTTGACAGAGAGAGATACAGTGAGAGCAGGAACACAAGCAGGGGGAGTGGGAGAGAGAGAAGCAGGCTTCCCGCTGAGCAGGGAGCCTGATGCAGGTCTCGATCCCAGGACGCTGGGATCATGTCCCGAACCCAAGGCAGTCGCTTAACCAACTGAGCCACCCAGGCATCCCCAAAACAGGTATTTCTGAGTGCCACCCACGGACGAAGGGCGAAGCATGCGTTTGGGAAGTAAGGAAGCTGAGCAGCCTTACACGTCCTCACCTCCACCGGGGTGCGCGGGCCGGGTCGTGGGCCAGCCGTGTTTGGGACGCCACCAAATGCCGATCTCCCTGTAGGGGGAGATTAGGGGTGAATTTATTTTTATTTTTATTTTTTATGTTTTTCTCAATTTTCCAATTCTCCGCAGTAGGTTCGTAATACTTCTAGAGTCCTGAGTGGAGGAGAGGGACAAAAATGTTACCCTTAATCAAAATAGATTTCCCAAACGCTGGCGGAAAGCGTGGGACGTCCGCACTTCCAGGGGGCGGTGACGGGGGGCGGCGGAGGGCGGGCTGGAGACGCTAAGTTATTCTGGTCTCTCGGCGCCTCCGCAGCTGGCGAGCTTTTTATAAACAGGACGAACACCACCCCCCCACCCCCGGCCCGCGCCTGGGGAGGAAGCAAGGAGATCAGGATTCTCTGGGGACCGGAGTTGAGGGGCAGGGATCCAAAATGGGGGATAGGGTCTCATTCTCCAGCCCCCTTCCGCCCTGCTCATATTTCCCCTCAAGATTTGGGGAAGTAAACGACTGAGCATCTCAGCCCCCAAAGTCTCCACTGTCTGAGTCTTGTTTCCCCAGGATGGAGGGAATGGGTCCCCTGTCATTTAAGTCAGGAACCTGGGTCGGATTAAGCATCTCCCAGCCCCATCTTTACTGTTTGGGGCGCCACCGACTGCCGGTCTTCCTTCCAAGTCCCAAGCGAGGTCTTTGAACCTCGCTAAGACTCTCTCTGCTTCGCGTTTTTGTTGTTTCCTGCAGGTTTTGGGGGATTTAGGAGGTAAGCCATTTCTCTGCCCCCTTCAGCATTATCTTCGAATTTTTCTCCGGAAAGTGGGGCTCAGGGAGAGGAGGGGTTCTTGTGTCGATTAACCCCTTCCTTCTTTTCGAGAAATTAGTTCTCTTGATCCCTATTTTTCTTCTTCTTTTTCATCTCAGAAACAGGATCGAGCATCTACCAACCCAGTCCTCTTTGGAGATCTTACGCCTCAGAAATTGGAAGGGGTCTCTCTTGGCCCCTATTTTCGCTTTTTTTTCCCATTTGTACTTACTTTTTAAAAATATTATTTATTTATTTATTTATTTGACAAAGAGAGCACAAGCAGGGGGAGCCGGAGAGGGAGAAGCAGGTTCCCGGCTGAGCAGGGAGCCCGACGCGGGGCTCGATCCCAGGCCTCTGGGATCATGACCTGAGCCGAAGGCAGACGCTTAACGACTGAGCCACCCAGGCGCTCCCATTTGTACTTATTTTGAACTCATAATTAGGGGGCATGGAGCGTCTCTCAGATGTTTGTTCCTCTTTTCTGAGATTGGGAACTGAGAATGTTTTTAACAAGAGGTCGCGGCACCCAAGACAGGGCGGGGACCGCGGAAATCTCAGACCAAAGGTGGGAGGGGGCGGGGAAAGAGAACGCCCCCTGAAGACCCAGGCTCAGCGAAGGCCTCAACCTCTCATCCCTGCAACCACTTGGGAGCCACCATTGGACAGGAGCAGAAGGGTGATGATCTCTGGTTGGCTACTCAGTCCGTCGCTCGGGCGCTTAAGCCAGTGAGAGGGTACCACTCAGTCCCGCCTCCCTGACACAGCCAGGAGGAGGAGCAGGTAGGCACCGCCCCCGCGCTCTACTGGATGAGCACATTGATTGCACCCCATTCGTGCGTCAATCCGCGCGGGAGCCCCGCCCCTCCCGGCTCTGCGTGCGTCAGTGGGCTGCTTCTCCAGGCGCCGCTCCGCCCCAGGATGGCGTCACGACTGTATCTGCATGGGAGGCCCCGCCTCACTCTTTGCAGGACGTCACCGCGGACTGCAGGGGCCTGAGCCGCTGCCGCCGCCGCCTCTGCCCCTGTCGCGCAGCCCCACATCAACGCAGGGGGCCCCGTCACCACCGCCGCCAAAAAGTCGCTGCCGCTAGGGTCGCCACCGCATCGGTGCAGGGCAAGGTGAGTTCCCGGGCGGCCTAGTTCCCCACCTCTCCGAACACCTACATAACCTTCATTTGACTCAGATGGGCTTGGCAGAGTAGGGACGAGGTTGGCTAGGGTCAAATGGGAAGGATGCGGCGGTCACAGCCCTTGTAGGGGTAGGGCCCTGGCTTTCCCTACCTGCCCGCTCCTCACCCCCACCCCCCACCCCTGGCCTCTGCGGCGGAGGGGGAAGGGAGGCGAGTGCCTTGCGGGAAGCTGTGCGCACGGGAGGCTGTGTGCGTGCGCGTGCGTGTAGTGTGAACACGCGTGTGCGCGCTCGCCTGTGCCAGCGGGTCTGTGTGCATACCCTTTTGCTTATGTACCGGGGTATGCTCGTGTGACCCGGTGGGTGTCCTGACCCCGGTGAGTGCGTGCCGCACGCGGGTGGAAGGAGACGCATGGAGTGTGCGTGTGCGTGCACGCCGTGTGCATACATGCACGGGAATGCGTGTCCGCGTGGGTGACGTGTACACGCCTGCATGGGTGGAGGGCGTTTCGCGCACGGGTGGGTTTGCACATTTGTATATGCGTGTTGGTGTGCGGACAAGTGTCTGTGTCCCTTTCCTGTGCACCGAATGTATTTGACTCTCATGTGCACACGCGTGTACGGGTGTGTTCCCTACTGCGTGCACGTGAGCGTGTGCACGCCCCGCCCCTATCACATGACCAGCTGTCTCAGCCCGATCTCTCCCAGCTTGGGAGTCTGAGGGAAGTGGGTGCTGCGACGCACATCCCCGCGGGAACGTACACGCGTGTGCACTTGCGCCCGCGCGCCTCCGATCTGAGGAACATGAATGATTGATGGGGGGCGGGGCCGGCCGCAGTCACCCCTACCCGCTCAGCCTTAGGGGTTAGGATTACAGCTCAATCTGGGGTGAAGGCATTCTGGAGGGGGCTACAGGGGTGTCCCCATACCCATCTCTCTGAGCTCCTCCCTTGACACTTCCAGCCTTTCAAGGTCACGGCCCGCCCTTTGCCATGGGTCCCACCATTAGTACTGGGGCTCCTGACGAGTTAAAGGTAATCTCTAAACACTAGCCCCTCTCAGGGGCTCTGGAGTTCTCTGCACCCTGTTCCTGGGGCTTGGGCAGTTGGGGGCGGAAGGGGACTCCTCAGGCTCACCTACACCCTGCACACCCAGATGGCATCCGCCACAGACTCACGCTATGGGCAGAAGGAGTCCTCGGACCAGAATTTCGACTACATGTTCAAGATCCTCATCATTGGCAACAGCAGCGTGGGCAAGACATCTTTCCTATTCCGCTATGCAGACGATTCCTTCACGCCTGCCTTCGTCAGCACTGTGGGCATTGACTTCAAGGTCAAGACCATCTACCGCAACGACAAGAGGATCAAGCTGCAAATCTGGGTGGGTCCAGCTGGGGAGCTCCTGTCTCTATCAGTTTACCTTCCCAGAAAAGCAGCCCCAGCTTAGCCACTTTCCTGTCTGGATTCATTCATTCACACCCTGGGCATTTATCAGGTGCCTTCTGTGTATCAGGGGCTGGAGGCCCAGAAGAGAGTGCCCTGTTCTCCCGTGGGTGCCTCATTACTGCTCTCCAGGAGCGGGGAAGGAGCAAATGCTGGGTCCTCTCTGCCTGCTGTTATCGAGAGCATCACTTGGCTTGGTACCTCAGTTTTCCCATTAAGTGCTTTCATGTGAGTCCGTATGAGGTTTCAGCTGGATCTTGGCCCCCAACCGCATTCTCTGGGACAGGAGCAGACACCTTCCACAGGGTCTGCCACCTCCCTTAACCCCATGGAGGCCCGAAGGAACCTGTTAAATCCCAAGCCAGAGCTGTCCCTCCTCTGCTCATTGCGTTTCCATGGCTCCTACCTGACCCATCCCCTGACCTGAGAGACCTTGCCTGGTCTGTCTCCTTCCACCCCCGCCTCCTTACTGTTTCTCAGATGATCCAGGCACAGACCCACTTCAGGGCCTTTGCCCTCGGCCGGGATTGTCTTTCCCCTAATCCCCACATGGTTCCGTCCTCACTTCCTTCAGCTTCTAAAACCATACCCTCGCGCACACTGCCCGGCCTTCTTTGTCCAACTTTTTCCCCTCAGTCTTTTTCACCCTCCAACATAGGATGCATTTTTCTTCCTTTTTTGTGTGTGTTTATTATCTGTTCCCTGTCTGTGTAGTCGGTTCCACAAGGCAGTGATTCTTGTCCATTTTGTTAACAGCTGTGTCCCCAGGGCGGCACACACAGGTCAACGCCCAGGTATGTTGAATGAATGATGGAATGATTCTGTAGGTACCTGCCTCCGGAGGATGGTTGAGCACCATGTTCTCCATGTAGGTGGCCAGCCTGCTTTCCCTGAGCCACCGTGCCAGCCCCCTGCTTCTCTCCGGTCCTCAGGGGGGCTGGACTGGACAATCTCGGAGTTGGTTTCCACTCTGAGGAGCTCACGTGTGGGGCCTCTCTGACCCCTGTCTTTTCTTCCCCCTAGGACACAGCAGGGCAAGAGCGGTACCGGACTATTACCACAGCCTACTACCGGGGTGCCATGGGCTTTATCCTCATGTATGACATTACCAATGAAGAGTCCTTCAACGCTGTGCAGGACTGGTGAGCACACCCTCACCGCCTCCCAGACGGTCTTTGGTGTTGGATTCTCAGACCTGCTCTCAGTCTGTAATAACTAAAACGTGGTGGCACTGGCTCAAATTAAGGGGGAAAAAAAGAGTTTCGTTTCAGGTAGAAAAATGAAATTTTAAATGTATAGGTAAAAAAAAAAGGGAGGGGGCAGAAAATATAAGGATAGTTTGCATAGGGTGAAAGGATAGAAACATTTACATTTCTGCCCCAAATAACGGTACATTTTAGGGAAATTTCTGAATTGGCAGAGGAGGGAGAAGTTCTTGTGTCTGGGGGACGGGGATCTGGGAAGGGTGGGCAAGCCTGCATGAAAGGGATTTCGAAGGTCAAGGAGCCGTGGGACCGTGTTCATGGCAGGACAGAGGCTGGGAGGAAGGCCCGAGCCTGCCAAGTTCAAGCAGTACTCGGGAGGTGGGGGGCTAGAGGGTGCTGAGGGATGGGGAGACGAGAGGTCGGCGGAGCTAGGATCCTCCCAGACCTAACCCACCCGTCACTGCCTCCCCCAGGTCGACCCAGATCAAGACGTACTCGTGGGACAATGCCCAGGTGCTCCTGGTGGGAAACAAGTGTGACATGGAGGATGAACGGGTGGTGTCGTCGGAGCGTGGCCGGCAGTTGGCTGACCACCTTGGTGAGTGCCTAGCGGGGCTGCCCACCTACAGGCTACAAAAGGGACGCTGAGGCCCTGAAAAGGGAGGGGACACACCCAAGACCTCCCAGCAAAGCCAGGACAGGGCCTGGATTTGAATCCAGACAATTCACACTTTCTGCAAATGGCCTGGAGCCAGGAGCTGGATCTTGATGGATGCATAGGAGTTCATTGTGCAGTAAGTTACTGATTCACTCTGACACCCTCACTGCTAGCCTCGTGTTGGGTTGCTGGGCTCAAGAGGCCTCATTTTGTGGGGCAGAGGGAGAGACCTGGGCTCGGGGAATGCGTGGCGGGGGGGGGGGGGTCTGCCTGGTGTAGGTAAGACCTGGAGGAAGGCGCCGGATCTGGTGCTTGAGCAAAGGGTGGTCTCTCAGGCAGAGGAAACAACTTTAGACACAGGCCAGAGGCGGGGAAGATCCTGGGAGTTCTGGCAAATCATTTTATATGGCTGGAACTCGAGGGTCACTTGGGGGAAACATGGCTGATCATGCAGGGCCTGAACCATATGCCGAGGATCTGGGACTCCTGCAAAGGACTGGGAGCCAGAGGGTGTGTAAGCAAGGGGGGGGCACAGGTGGATGGAGTGCCAGATGCTGCCCAGGGCCAGGGCACAGGCTAGGGTGGATGGCGAGAGCAGGGACATAGGTCTTGCCAGGGGCCTGGAAACGAGAAGGGGCGTTTTAGGGTGAAGGAAGGAGTGCAGGAAACATAGGGCTGACCTGCTTCCTTGCAGGACTTGTTGGCACCTCTCACAAGTGATTGGCAGTGGGAATCTCCAGATGTTCCCTGCCCTCAGAGAAGCATCTCTGGGGGGTGGGGGTGGGAGGGGACCAGGGCCCTCACCCCTCCCTTCCCCACCCACAGGCTTTGAGTTCTTTGAGGCAAGCGCCAAGGACAACATCAATGTCAAGCAGACCTTTGAGCGCCTGGTAGATGTCATCTGCGAGAAGATGTCTGAGTCCCTGGACACGGCCGACCCTGCAGTCACCGGCGCCAAGCAGGGCCCGCAGCTCACGGACCAGCAGGCGCCTCCACATCAGGACTGCGCCTGCTGAGAGCTGCCTCCGGCCCCATCCCGGCCCCACCCCTGCCCACCCCCTGGGCCCGATCCAGCTCCCACTGGCCCAGGGTGTGAGAACCCCCCTGCCCCCAACTTAGCCCCTCACCCTTATTTATTATCGTAGTTATTTATTTATTTATTGGAGATGTCCCCCAGGGGCTCAGGCTCCCCACCCACCCCTTGTCCCGTCCTGTACATACAGCCCTGTCCCCACCCTGTTGTGGCGTGGCGTGGCCCTGTGAACTCACCACTCACCCTCCTCTCAAGACCCCACCTTTTTTAAAATTCACCCCCAACAACAGTTACCGGTTTTGCAGAGGGGGCCCGATGACCCCTCCCCCAGGGCAGGCTGATTGGGTGATGGGAGGTAGTCGGGTCTACCAGCCTCTCGGCTGTGACACGGTGGGCCAAGGCCACTGTGGGGGTCTCAGCATGGACCATGGGGTGGATAAGAGCCAGGTAATGGCCCGCCTGGCTCCTCACCCCCAAAGTTTTACCCTTATTTGGAGGTGAGGGCTGCTGTGGGTACTCGCCACCCTGGGGACCCCCCCCAACACCAGACCTGTTCTGACGTCATGAGTGTCAATGTTCCCCCCAGATCCCCAGGAGATGTCATGACAACACTACACACACCCAATAAAGTGAATGGATGACACCGTGTCCCCATGAGTGCCAGCCTGCCAGGGTGGCCTTGGTCATCCACAGGATTTTCAATGACCAAAGAATTTAATAGCATTTCCACAGTCTGTGATCTGAGTATGAGACTGGAAGCCACCTGGCCCTGCCCAAGGCTCCAGATTCTGGGGGCTGACTCCAGGCTGGGCCCTGCTCCAAGGGGATGGGCTATGTCCCCACCTTGGGCCCAGGGCCCAGCCCATAATAGTGTTGAGGGGTTGGGGCTTGGGACGGGCTGGTTGGGGCCCAGAGCTGCGGATGGGAACATCTGTCACTGGTTCACGGAGGGCCTGCGGTGAGAGGGGCTCCTTGGTGACCATCTTCATGGTTGTGTTCCAGGTGGGGAAACAGGTCTTATACTAGGCCTGGAAGGGGCACCCAGCCAGATGCCTAGCGGTTGGGGAGGGGCCAGGACCAGGCTAGGCCTGCTCAGAGTCAGTCCTGCTCTGTCTGGCATCCAGTCTGGAGGGCTGGGGCAGCTCAATCTGCACAGTGCCCAGGGCCACGCAGCCTAGGGGTGGACGGGCCCAGGATATGTCTGTGCAAGAGGGATCTGGTCACACACCCCGTTCACCCCTCTGGATTCCTCTTCACCAAGCGAGAGTCCTCACCCATCTGTCTTCTGGCTGGGCTCAGTCCTGCGGGGCAGACGCAGCAGGTCCTGCCCGAGGTCACATCAAACAGCAGATAGGGGCTGGGTCTTCACCCTGCTGGGGTTCAGCTCCCCACCCACCTGCTGTAGTTTGTAGATTATCACAGGCTAGGAGGACCTCACCCTAGAACGCAGCTGCACCGCCATTTGGGGTTCAAACGTGTGGCCCCTGAGGAGACCCCTGGGTATCTGGTCTGCCCACCGAGCTCACCCGGTACTTCAGGTAGGAGAGGTACGTGTCCCAGCCCAGCGTCAGGCCATTGATGTAGGTGACTCGGAACTGGGGGGGCACGAAGAGGAAGTTCACCAGCTGGGCAGCTGGCCAAACGCACCAGTCGGCCTGCAGGGAGGGGCGGAGTGTGGTGAGGGGCGGGGCCTTGCAGGGCGGAGGCTGCGAAGGGCGGGGCAGGGAGCGAAGTGGTGGGCGTGGCCCACCTTGTAGAATTCCCAGAACTTGTCCCGCAGCTCCTGGCAGCTCTCATCCAGCGATTGGCCCTCCAGGCAGCCAAGGCCTGGGAAGGAGACCAACAAATTAGAGTGTCAGAGGCTGGGGAGTACTGGTGATGGAGCAGATGGGGCAGGAACCCTGAGGGACAGTGGCGTCCCTGGAAGACTGACCAAGAAGTTTAAAAGCCGTGTGGTGGGAAGGGCCACACACAGCAGAGTGGTTGGTGTAGAGAAAGAAGGCAGAACAAATTGGTTCCAGTGAGGGAGAGGTCATAAATAAACACGCACCCCCTTAGGGGCACCTGGGTGGTTTAGTAGGTTAGGCGACCAACCCCTGGTTTCGGTTCAGGTCATGATCTCGGGGTCCTGGGATTGAGCCCGAGTTCGGCTCCGCACTGGGCGTGGAGCCTGCTTAGGATTCTTTCTCTCCCTCTCCCTCTGCCCCTCCCACCTCCCTCTCTAAAAACAGACAGACACAGGCACCGCAAAGGATGAAGTACCCTTCCTGAGGCTGAGGCTGTTTTATTTCCCTTCTTTCAAAAAGGAGGAAATTGAGGCTGGGGGGGGGGGGCTGGAGCGACACTCTTCCCAGAGCCAAGGGCTGGATGATTGTACCCCATCAACCCCAGCCTCAGCAACTCTTCCTTCAGCCTCAGGGCCTTTGCACGGGCAGTTCTTCATGCCTGCTGGCTCCTTCTTCAAGTCTCAGCTGAGTGTCCTCTCCTCTGGGCGGCCCTCCCAACCACTGCCCAGGGAGCCCCACCTGAGACTGCTTCATCCCTCTCTCACTAAGCACCATTGTCTGATTCTGCCGTTCATACCTGCCCCCAGTGGGTCTGTCCTGGCACCACTGTGACCCAGCACCCAGTCCAGAGCCACACACAGAAGAGGCCCATCAGAAATGCACGTCATCATCCCTCTTAACACAAAGCGGGCTCTACCCCTCCTATCACAGGGAAGGACAAAGCCCAAGCTCACAAGGCTCCTTACCCAAGAAGTACCAGACGCCTAACGTGGGAGAGGCCACCAGCTGGTCGATGAGCACCTTCCTGAGGACGTTTGGGAGGCCAGGGAGGCCAGACGCTGGGAGCAGGTGGTCCAGCCAGAGGTACCAGTAGTGCAGGAAGGGACCCATACTGCAGCCCACTGCAAACATGCTCGCTGAGAACAGTTCAAGAGTCAGGGGGGGACAGCAAGCCCCCCAATCCATTCCGTCCCTGGTTACCCTCCCACCCTGGTAAACCTGAAGCCCTCCCAGAGCCCACCTGCATGTTCTCCCATTACAAGCTCCACTGCCAGGAACGTTTCAGTGGCTCCTCTCCCGTTTTCTCTCCTCATCCCCTTCACCACCCCGTGAGCGAGTTCTACCATTGCTCAGCTTTCCGGAGGAGGAAACAGGCACAACAGGTTGGGATGTGCGGGGCCAGGGCACAATCCCAGGCTGGCTGGGTCCAGACGCTGAGCCCTTGACTATCCTTGGTGCAGTTTCCAGTGCTCAGTGCTTGGTCTCAGTGACGGAATAAGGAAAGCGGACGGAAACTGCGTCCGGGAGGAGACAGGGACCAGGAAGTAGGAGGAGACGGAGACCTGGGCTGGGAAAGAGGCCTGAGACCCCGGCGCGGGGAGAGAGGACGGAGACCCGAGCGTGGGCTATGAGGGTCCTGGATGCACACCAAGGTCAAGAGTCCCGCAGGGAATTGAGGTCACAGGTCTCCGATTCTGAGGTTGGGGTCAAAGGTCTCCCGGGGTCAAGGGCCAGCAGCGCCGGCCTCCTCACCTGAGCGCCGGGGATCGAACTTCTGGCCAGGCCGGTTGCGGACCTCCCAGGATTGGCGCACGCCGTCCCCGACCGCCATGAGAACACCACAGCCCAGCGTGTTGGTGACGAGCAGCGCACGGCCTCGGAACAGGGGCTGCCCCACGGCCCGCAGTCCGCGCAGCCAGCGCCAGCCGCCAGAAGCCATAGCCCACCGCGACTCGGGACCCGGCGCCGGGGACGCCGTCCCGGTGCTGGCCAATCGCACGCGGTCCTCGCGGCCTGCACGCCCGCCCCAGTCCTCGCCAGCCGATCGCTGGCGGCTCGGCGTTCCGCTTTGCCGGGCTCCAGATGTAGTAACCAATAAAAGGCCGGCATCCCATCCCCGGGCCAATCGCTAAGCGAAGCCAAACGCTGCCTTCCGCACTTTACGGACCAATCGCAAATAAGCGTCTCTCCGCAAAGCGCAGAGCAATTGTCGCCCGGCCACCCTCGTTTCCCCGCCCCTTTCTGCGCCGGCCTATGGACAAGCGTCGCCGCACCCTAACAACCCGCCCAATACTGCACTGACCAATCGCAGATAGGCTTAGGCCGGCGACTCGCGGTCCGTTGTCCCGCCTCCCGTGCCGAGGTGGCCAATCTTGCTCCGTCGCCTAGTTGCTTTTCCAGATTCTCCGATTCTCCCGGAATTCCTGAGAAGGGATCCGAGCCCCGACCTCGGCGGCTCCTGCGGCGGAAGTCTAATCCCGCAAACACTCACGGAAGTCGGGGCAGGGTGTAGTTCGGCTGCGCCGGCGGCCCGGTAGAATCCTGGCCCAGCCATCGACCTTGACTTGAGCTGGGTATCTGACCTCAGTTCCAGAATAGTAATAGTTAAAACGTTAGGCACTCTTCTGGGCACGTTACGTGCATTAATTTATTTCACAGGCAGCTCTGCAAACAACTATATCCCTGTACTTTACTTCCTGTGTTCCTGTAGGGAATAATAGGAGTTTCCATGGAAACGTACGTTACTTACAAGGAACCAGGGTGTCGCAAACTGCGGCCTGTGGTCCAAATCCCATTGCTGTTCTTGTGAGGCTCAAGAGGTAAAAATGTTTCTTATATTTTTTTAAAATGTGTGAAATAGTATAAAATTTCTGGACATGAAAGAATCCGTTTTGAAGCCCTATTTTCCTTTCCAACGGATGAACTCTTGAACTGGGGGAGAATCAGCAATAGTTTTTTACAAGCAGTAGCGCATAAAATTTCAACAGAGCAATTGGCATTCAGATCATATGGAGAAAGTAAAGTTAATACATACCCGGGACAGTTTCATTTGATAGCACTAGTAAAATTACAATAATCAGAAGTGACTCAACTGGTCAGTGATGTGGGAAACAAAGGCAAAAGAAAAATTTAATTTCCTTACTACCTACAGCCCACAGACAAGTCCTTGAAACAGGCAGTGACATTCCTCTAGGGACTCAGCGGCTGCCTCGGCTGCCTCGATGGTATTATCATTGCTAAGGGCAAAAGGCGATCTTAGCCCGACCCCCGGGATCTTGTAAGTCTATTTTAACATAAAAATTCCTTCGGAAACTTCCTTTATCTCTAGCCCCCAAGAGACATGTTGGCAGTCATCCCCCAAGCATAGGGCCCACCGATATGCATGGGAAGGGTCTCATGACTAAAGTTTTACTAGACAGTAATAAATGGCCTTTCCCCAACAAGAGCTAGCCCCCTCAAGGTCCTGGAAACCTTGCTTCCAAAATTCCTTCGAGACTTACACTCTCCCTAACCCCCTCCCAACTTCAAAGTATACAATGGGCCACCCCTCATGACCCCGGTGCAGCTCTTTCTGCCCAGGGGTTCTGTCCCCGGGCTTTAATAAAACCACCTTTTTGCACCAAAGACGTCGCAAGAATTCTTTTCTTGGCCGTCGGCTTTGAACCCTAACATTCTTTCCTACATCAGTCAGCAACAAATTACTAGGGTTTCTTTCTTCTTTATCTAAATCAGGTAATTACCCCTTCCTTCTTTCTCATAAAAACCCTTTCCCTCCATGAAGGAGACACTTTTCTGGTTACTCTGGAATCTGTGCTCCCGAATTGTAATTCTGAGACCCCGAATGAAACATTTGTTCCTTTTCAGTTTTGCCTCCTTTTCTCAGTTGACAAAAGGTTGGGGGGGAAAAATCAGAATAATATTCTATGACATGAAAATTATTCAAAAATCAAATTTCTGAATCCATAAATCTGTATTGGAACAGAGCCATGCCCATTTGTTTCTATAGTGTTTCCTCTCTCACTACAATGAGTAGTTGCAACAAAGACTGAATGGTCTGCAACAGTGAAACTATTTACCCTGCTCCTTTACAGCAAAAGAGTTATTAGGACACTGCCGGTCTCAGTCCGAGGAGCCAGTGACTCTTGATCTTGGGGTTTTGAGTTCGAGCCCCACATTGGGTGTGGAGATTACTTAAAATAAATAAATAGATAGATAGATAGATAGATAGATAGATAGATAGATAGATAGATAAAATCCTAAGTGTGTCTGGGTGGCTCAGTCGGTTAAGTGTCTACCACCACTCGGGTCATGATCCCAGGGCCCTGGGATCGAGTCCCGCATGAGCCTGCTTCTTCCTCTGCCTGCTGCTCCCCCTGCTTGTGCGTGCTCATTCTCTCTCTCTCTCTCACACACACACACAAATGGATAAATAAAATCTTTTAAAAAAAAGTGTCCATCAGGAAGAAGAACCTTTGCTGTCTGGACCTGTGATACTTAGGGTTTCTGTTGAAAGAGGTCAGGATATGCCACCCCAAAATATGCCGCTCTGGCAGATTGATTCTTTTGAAAGATAGCAAGATGCAGAAAGGACATACGGAGCTGCTTTTCTCTTCCTAAGAGCAGGAGATAAAATTCCCAAGTGGAAGGTGCCCTCCCTGTACCAGGAGGAAGAAACACCATTATCACCAGAGAGGACGAGTTGAGGCTGAGGGGATCCAGACAAACAGACCTTGTTAAAATAATTTATCTTCCTGTAGTCTCTGCATATCCTTTAGTTGCTTTTCCATCGTCTCCCTCTGTTGAACCTAGTAAGTAAACACTGAGGCCTAATTCTTGGGTCTCCCTTCTTCTTGTAAGGGCCCCCATGGTTTGGTAATGAGGATGGGATCACATTGGCTGGGGCTCTCTTGGCTCTCTGGGATCTGCCGCTGAGAGGTGCTGGGGCCTGATGAAGCCAGCAGGTAAGGTAAGAATTTTTACCTCGTTTGCTTTCTGGATCTCTATCCATTGGGAGAGGATGGTAAAAATTTCTCTTTGTCCGTTCCCTCTGGGTTCTGATTGGCAAGAGAAAAGCATTTGTAAGGATTAATTCTTTGGATCCTTTGTGACTCTCGTAAATTTGGTTTTGGGTACCCACTTGTTGATCCCTCCCTCCAGGGACAGCTGTTGCTTTCTGTCTGTCTCCCTTTGTGTGCTGAAAGCTTGGCTTGGCTTTCTGCATGCTGCAAGAGACCAGACATCAGGTTAGGAGCCTGGAGAATATGTCGATGACCAGAGAGAAATGGGAGTTGTACTCCCATTTGTGGCTAGGGTCATTGCCAGCTCTCCAGAGAATTGTCTGTCTGTCTGTCTTTTGGCTGTCTTTGGGAGTAGCTCTGGATCTTGGGAAGAGTGCATCTTTTGTACCCTCTTGGGGGCATCTCTTGTGTCCCTGATTAGATCATAAAAGGCTTTGGTTTGGGTTTGGGTGCTAGATCACTTGGAATAGGTATACTTTTGGTTTTTAAAAAAAAAAAAACAAAACAAATTCAGTAGTGCCAGAAAATTTTAGTTTGTCTGAGCTGAAACCTGATAAGATATTTAAAAGGACTTTTAAAATTCTTTTCTTTCCTTTTTTTAAAAGATTTTATTTATTTTTTTGAGAAGGGAGAGGGAGAGAGCATGAGCAGGGGGGAGGGGCAGAGGGAGAAGCAGATTCCCAGCTGATCAGGGAGCCCGATGTGGGGCTTGTTCCCAGGACCCTGGGATCATGATCTAAGCTGAAGGCAGACACTTAACCAACTGAGCACCCAGGTGCCCCAGGACTTTTTTTTTTTTTTATTCTTAAAGGAACTCTATGGACAGAAATTGTCTAATTGAAAGCTAATATTCCCAGGCTGATAGGAACTATTTCCAAAGCTAAAATGGAACTACCTACTCAGAGGGCTATTTGGGAACAAATTAGCATGTGAAATCTCTTAAAAGTCTTCTTTGCAAATATTAGTAAGTTGTTCCATCTGCCAGAAATATAGTTTGGATTAAACTATTTTTTTAAATTTTTAAAATTTAGGGCGCCTGGGTGGCTCAGTCGTTAAACGTCTGCCTTCGGCTCAGGTCATGATCCCAGGGTTTTCGGATCGAGTCCCGCATGGGACTCCCTGCTCAGCGTGAACCCTGCTTCTCCCTCTCCCACCCCCACCCCCCCCTGTGTTCCCTCTCTCGCTGTGTCTCTCTCTGTCAAATTAAAAAATAAATAAATAAATAAAATTTATTTAAAACAAATTTTAAGGCTTTTCATTTTTTTACTTTTAAGTAATCTTTTTACCCAATGTGGGACTCCAACTTAACCCAGAGATCGAGAGTCGCAATGCTTTACCAACTGAACCAGCCAGGTGCCCCTAATTTAATTTTTTAAAAAATGTAAGCTCAATGTCCAATGTGGGGCCTGAACTCATGACCCAGAGATCGAGTCCCATGCACCACTGACTGAGCCACCCAGGTGCCCCCTCAACTATTTTTTTTAAAGATTAAAAAAAAAATTTTTTTTTTTAATTTTTAAGTAATTTTACACCCAACATGGGGCCTGAACTCATAACCCCGGGATCAAGAGTCACATGGTCTTCCAACTGAGCCAGCCAGGCACCCCTCAACTATATTTTTTTAAACATGTGAGTTTTGTATTCTTGTACCTGTCTCATGGCCTAAAATTTAAAAATAAGAGCTATAAGATCTCTGATTGTATGTGTCTCTATGTTTATGTAATATTTTTTTACCTCCAGAGATATTGCTAAAGAGTAATTGTCAAGAGCTCTATTTAATTGACTTGTTTAAAAAGTGCTTACATAAATTAAGATTAGTCAAACACACTCATTATCTCTGTGTTTAAGATTATAAAACTATAAATTCAACCATAAGAACAAAACCTATAATAAAAGTGAATTGTTTAATGTATATCAAGCATGACACTAAATAAAGGGAGAGAGTTGTATGTTTAATTTTTCAGGTTCTTTACGTCTGTGATTTTTGATACTTGCCTGATTTGTCAACAAGAAAAATAATGGGGCGCCTGGGTGGCTCAGTCGTTGAGCGTCTGCCTTCGGCTCAGGTCATGATCCCAGGGTCCTGGGATCGAGCCCCCTCAAAGGGCTCCCTGCTCAGCGGGGAGCCTGCTTCTCCCTCTCCCACTCCCCCTGCTTGTGTTCCCTCTCTTGCTATGTCTGTCTCTGTCAAATAAACAAAATCTTTAGAAAAAAAATAGGATGATAGCTAGCTGTGTCGTGACTCATGAAATGTTCGTAAGTCATCTAAACATAATTGTTTTTTTTTTTAAAGATTTACTTATTTGAGAGAGCGAGAATGAGAGAGAGAGAGAGTACATGAGAGGAGGGAGGGTTAGAGGGAGAAGCAGACCCCCTGCTGAGCAGGGAGCCTGATGCGGGACTCGATCCCGGGACTCGAGGATCATGACTTGAGCCGAAGGCAGACGCTTAACCAACTGAGCCACCCAGGCGCCCCAAACATAATTCTTAAAAAGGAGTAAGTTAAATACATGTAAATGGGATAAAAATTTACAAGTGAACTTTTCTTTTTCTTTTTTTAAAATTTTACTTATTTTTTTAATTTATTTGACAGAGAAACAGCGAGAGGGAACACAAGCAGGGGGAGTGGGGGAGGGAGTAGCAGGCTTCCCGCTGAGCGGGGAGCCAGATGCGGGGCTCGATCCCAGGACTCTGGGATCACGACCCGAGCCGAAGGCAGACGCTTAACGACTGAGCCACCCAGGTGCCCCAAGAGAGGCAGGATTCTAAGATGGCCCCAAGATTTCCGCCTCAGGTGTGCACCTGTATGCCCTCCTCCAGCACAGGTAGATCTTGTCGATATGATAGAATATGAGTATGATATTACATTATTTTGCAGGCATAATTATCCTCATCAGTCCATCTAAAGGGAGACTGGTTAGTGTCCTCACTGTCTGCGATATATTTCTATTTGTCAGATTCCTAGAGGTGCCTTGGCTGATTTGAGGCAAGAATAATACCCTGTTAGTCATAATTCCAGTTATTCCTTAAAATGTTCATTTGGCCAAGATCCCACTAAGTTAGTTTCCTGTGGTCAGTGACACTTTCTCCATTTTTCCTTTGCTGTTCGTGACCTTGGCACTTTTGAGGAGTACTGATAAGATATCTTATAGAATGTCCCTCAGTCTGGGTTGGGGTGATGTTTTCTCATGGTTAGACTGGAGTTCTGGGTCTTTGAGGAAAGTCCCACAGAGATGGAGTGTCTTTTTTTTTTTTTTAAGATTTTATTTATTTATTTGAAAGAGAGAGAGAGAGAGAGAGAGAGAGAAAGTGCACACAAGCAGGGGGAGTGGCAGTCAGAGGGAGAAGCAAGCTGAGCCTTCCACCGACCGAGCCACCCAGGTACCCCGAGATGGAGTATCTTGATTGCATCATATCAGGGCATGTGATATGTACATGGTTTCACATGGGTCATGCTAACCCGGATCACACGGTTAAGGTGATACCAATCAGGTGTCTCTACTGTCAAGTTACTCTTTTTCCCTTTCTCTACTCTTTGGAATCAAGTTACAAAATCCAGTCCACTCTCAAGGTGCTGGAGGTGGCAGAGGAGTTAGAATTAGGTTCCTCCAGAACCTGACACACCTATATACATGATTTGACCAGCCAATTTCCAGAAACTAAGTTTGGCTTTTGGGAGCCAATGCTTACAAAATCCTTACAGGAAAACTGGCTTGTACCTGGCTGGCAGGGTCAGTCTTATAGGTTGGTCCTGGTCAACTAAGATTTCCTGTGCTATTTTAGGGATGTCCGGAGTAGAGCAATTTTCCAGAAGGAATAGATACTGCAGATGAAACCCGGTGGCGTGGTGGAGTTTTTTGCCTGGAGTTAACGGATGTTAGAGGTTTTCAAAAGTCCAAACTTGAGATTCCTTATTGGAAACTCCCAGCAAAGCAAACTGAATGCCTGCTGCCCTTGTGTAAATAATCAGGGCAAATCCAGTGAGACCTGCCAAGGAAGGTCTTCCTTTGAGATTACTTTGAACAAAAGGGTCAGCTCAAATATTATCCAGCCATTAAGAGAAGGGAGGAAATCCGGCTAATTATGACAACACAGAGAAACCTGGAGGGCATTATGCTAAGTGGAATAAGCCAGGCAGAGAAAGACAAATACTGCGTGATCTCACTTCCGTGTGGAATCTAAAAAGACAAACCCACAGAAACAAGAACATTGGCTGCCAGGGGCCGGGCGAATGGGGGAAATGGGTTGGTCAAAGGGTACAGACTTTTATTATAAGATGAGTACTTCCTGAGGCTCAAACGTACAACATGGTGACTCTAGGTAACGGTACCATATTGTATACTTGAAAGTTGCTAATCCAGGAGCTCTGAAGTGTTCTCATCACACACACAAAAAGGTAACTACGTGAAGTGACAGAGGTGTTAACTCGATGGTGGTAAATGTTTCAGGATATATACACATACCCAATCATCACATTGTAGACCTTGAATATATACAAATTTCTCAATTATACCTCAATAAAGCTGGGAACACCCCCTCTTTCTTTTGTCTTTAGCTAAGGGGGGTATTTAAAGTGATGGCTTAGGGGGCACCTGGCTGGGTTAGTCGGTGGAGCATGTGACTCTTGATCTCCAGGCTGTGAGTTCGAGCCCCACATTGAGTGTGGAGATTACCTAAAAATAAGAATAAAGGGGCGCCTGGGTGGCTCATTCAGTTAAGCAGTCTGCCTTCAGCTCAGGTCATGATTCCAGGGTCCTGGGATGGAGCCCCACATTGGGCTCCCTGCTCAGTGGGGAGTCTGCGTCTTCCTCTGCCCCTCCCCCCTGCTTGCACGCACTCTCTTTCACTCTCAAATAAAATCTAAAATAAAATAGGGGCGCCTGGATGGCTCAGTCGTTGGGCGTCTGCCTTCGGCTCAGGTCATGATCCCAGAGTCCTGGGATCGAGCCCCGCATCGGGCTCCCTGCTCGGCGGGAAGCCTGCTTCTCCCTCTCCCACTCCCCCTGCTCGTGTTCCCTCTCTGGCTGTGTCTCTCTCTGTCAAATAAATAAATAAAATCTTTGAAACAAATAAAATTAAATTAAAAATCTTAAAAAAAAAATAAAGTGGTGGCTTGTGCCACTTTGGGGAGTTTTACTCAGTTTCAGTGGGTATTTCCCATGTATTCATGAGGTATGCCTCCCTCTGGCCCATATCTGCCCAACTCCTATCACCCAGTGTGGCGTCTGCAAAAGGGAGTAGTTAAGGGCTGTCTGTTGAATTACTGAATACGTCTTCTGCCTCATGAACTCCTAGTCACCCTTCAAAACCCCAGCCCCAATGCTCCTATTCCCTAAGCAGAGCCTTCACTCCCTCTCTGGGCTCCTCCAGCCCTGGTGCCTCCCTCTGGCCTGGGTCTGCTCCCCGTGGGGCGAAGAGTGTCTGTCTGGTTCTGCCTCGCCTAGAAAGGGGACTTCTCAGGGGGGTCCCAGCAGCGTGTCGGTCCAGGGGGACTTGTTAACTTATCAAAGGGATCACAAAATCCAGAAGTGTTTATTAAACTCGTTTCAATGTAGCACCATTCTCAGTGGGGCGAGATGCTTGATCTGGGGGCAGGATTCTGAGTCTGGGCTTTCATGGAATGTGTAGAAGTTATCTGGATGATGGGAAGCAGCTGCTGAGAGTCAGCGATCAGGAAAGACAGGGACAGGTGCCCTTTTGCTGTTCCTCTAGCAGCTCCTTCCTGGGCACCAGCTGTCACTTGAAGCAGACTTCCCTCTGGGAGCTGGCCATGGGTTGGCAAATGTCTGGCTTCTCACCCTGGAGGAGACGGCCATGAGCTGGGGGTCCCGAAAGGAGCTGCTGCCCACCCCTGCCCCCAGCAGACCCCTCCGGTCCCCTTCCAGCTTGCCTGGTACAGGTGGCAGACGAGGCTTAGGAGCTGATTCGGATCTTTCAGGGGTTTCTGCACGAAGCAAGACAGGAAGTCATCCAGTCCCACTTGCCTGTGTCCAGCCCAGAAGGGGCTGCAAATGGCCCCAAGTCTGGCCCCTGCCTCCCAGACCAGAGGGCATATCTGTCATCCTGGTGCTGGCGCGGTGGCCATACCGAGGGCTAGAAGAGTTCTTACCCCATTGACGACGACCCAGGGCACATACTCGTGGGGCGGCTGCAGGGCATCTGTAAGCTGGGCATTGACGTGCAAGAGCTGCATGCCACGGTCCCCCATTGCGCACTCCATGATGGTGTCCGGGGACACCTCTGGGGCATAGATCTGCAGGCACTGAGGGTGGACAAGGGTTGCTGGTTGAGCGGGAGCATTGCCTCAGCTTCCTCTGGGTTATCTCCCCAACGGTCTCTCCTCCAGCCCCCCGCAGGGCCAAGCTTGTACCTTCCTGGTAACAGGAGACATTTGGGTCCACAGCATAAACAGCGCGTGCTCAACACCTACCTGAGTGGAGGCCCCCAAGGCAGGGGCTCAGGCTGCTTCTGTGTCTCAGAAGACCAGACCTGCAGCCCTGGACCCCTTACGGTATCTCATTTTCCTCAGAGCTTCCGTATGTGCTGTTCCCTCTACCAGGAACACCCTTCCCCTTCCTTCCCCAGAATCTGCCAAGTGCTCCTTCCTCCTCTGTCCTCCTCTGGCCGCACTATGACTCTGCAGGGCTCGGGGTGTCCCAGGGTGAGCCTTTTGGGTGGTCCAGATGTTTGATGAATGAATAAACTATTGGTGTCAATGAGTCACTCCATTGGGAGGTGTTTTTTTCATAATCCTCCAGAGAAGTAGGCGGGTCTGTCCTGTCATCCCCATACCCCAGAGGAGGATCATCATCTGTGTCCCTGGACATTTCTGTTCATCCAAGACCAGCTCAGAGGCACCTCCTCCAGGAAGCCCTCCTTGATCTACCCATGCTCCCCCAAAGAGCTCTGTTCCCCTGCTTCAGAGATTTGAGGCATCCAGAGGGAAGGCCATTTTCCTGGGGCTACACAGAGAGTGGTGGTCAGGCCAGGACCTGAACCTGGGTCTGTCTGGGGACAGGGAAGGCCAGGGTCTCCCAACCCGGGGCCAAGTGAGGGGTGTTGCTCACTGGTTTCAGATTTTTCTCCATGTCATCCATTTCCTCTATGCAGACAATGGTCAGGATGGCCAAGTTCTTCTCTAGCTGGTCCCACAGGCAGGCCTGTTGGGGGGGATGGACAGGCAAGGGCATGAAGCGAGCCCAGAGCAGCCCTAGACCGCTCTGTGAGTGATCACGGGTGTTCACTAATGAAGCGGTGAATGAAGATGTGATTCAAGAGGCATGCAGGCAGAGGATGGAGCTGCCTGCAATCTCTTCTGAGCCTGGCTTTTGCCTTCCTTACGATGGGCAATCTCCCCCCTCCACCTCTGTGCTCCCACCACTCAGGTACCCTGGGGGCTGCTCACCTCCACCTTGTTCAGCTTGCATTCCTGCTCACCGTGCTGGCATGTGAACTCCCACCTGCCACTGACATTTTGTTCCTGCAAGGCAGCTAGGTGAGTGCTGGCACCAGGTGCCCCCTTCCCTGGCCTAGTGCCTCGGTTTCCCAGGGCCAGCATACCTGGGCATTTCCATAGGGCACCAGTGTGACATTGAGGATCTCCAGGACCATCAGCCAGGTCGGGAAGAGTTCTCGGACCAGGAAGGCCCGGCAGCCGGGGCACAGCGCCTCGTAGTAGAGGCTCACGTTGACAGGTGGCGCTTGTGACTTCCTGGGGGGCATCTGCAGGCACAGGCCCCCAGCCTGTGCGGGAGGAAGGGGTGTGAGGGGAGTATAGCCCTGCTTGGTTCTCTTGCAGCTACAAACAGTAGGTGCTCCATCTTGCACTCCTTTCAGACGGTGCCAGGTAGAATCCTGACTCTCAGACTTTATTGCATCCCTAAATCTTCCTCAATCTCAGTTTTGGTTTTTTTTTTAAGATTTTATTTATTTATTTGACAGAGAGAGACACAGCGAGAGAGGCAACACAAGCAGGGGGAGTGGGAGAGGGAGAAGGCGGCTTCCCCCGCCCTCCCCAGCAGGGCCCTGGGACCATGACCAGAGCCGAAGGCAGACGCTTAACGACTGGGCCACCCAGGCGGCGCCCCTCAGTCTCAGTTTTTCTGCAAAACGGATGTAACAAAGACTTGCAAACAGTAGGCACTTAATTTATGAACAGCTCTTGCTTTCCTTCAGTTGAGGTGAAACCCCTCGCCCAGGGGAAATGTATGCAGTAAGGACTCAACACACATGCACATTTCTGGTCACTGCTCTCCATCCTGCCTTCTCGGAGGTGCATACCACAGGAGACTAATGCATGCTCATTTGTGGCCACTTCATCCCCATAGCCTTGGCCCTGAGCTGAGCAAGGCCCTACCCTTGGGCTGACCCCTTATTTATTCTTCCTCTCAAGGGGCCCAGGTGAACCCCCCTCCCAAGCCCTACTGCTGAGGCGGCGCCTAATATGTGCTGACTTCCGGTTTCAGTTGCTGTGCGGCAGGCAGCCAGTGCCGGTGCAGGCAAAAGCAAGTGGCTCAGCCTCCAGGGCATGTAGTTGCCCCGCACCAGAAACACGCGAGCTCTTCCCTGGCCGAAAGGCACCCAGGAAGCAGCACCTGGAGGGTCGGTGCCACGGGCCCACTTCTCTGGGCTTCCCTGCACTTCGAAAGAAAACTCCATTCCCGCCCCAGAAGTACCCTGTAGGAGCTCAACGCACCCTCGGGCGGGGCGGGCGGAGACGGGGTGGGGGACAGCTTAGAGTGTCAGACGCGAGATGGGGAAGTGAAACGACTCGGATTGGGGCCACAGCACCGGGGGGGGGGGGTCTTCGGTGCCGACCCGGGGCCCCGAACCCCGCTCTTTCCCGGCAAAATCTGGGGAGAGGGGAGGAGCCGCCCCTCCCGCAGCACCCCGCTGCCCGGGCGCCCGGGCCCGCTGGCGCCCCCCCTCCCCGCCGCGTTGCCGTCCCTACCTTGCAGGCGGCCGCCCCCTCGGGGAGTGTTTCCAGCGGGGACGCCCGCGCCGCCGTGGGGTCCTCCGGCGCTAGCAGCAGCAGCAGCAGCAGCAGGAACAGCAGGAACGGCAGGAGTGGCGACGAGGCCATCACAGCGGGGCGAGGGTGCGGAGGCGGGAGCAGCGGCCCGACAAGGAGCCGCCTTTAACCCGGCGGTGGCCCAGCCCCCCAGGCCGGACCCGCCTCCCGGGGGCCCACGCCCCTGGGGGCTGGGGCGGGCGTCTCTCGGGGTCGGCTGGCCTGTCTGGGTCCCCTTCCAACCTGGCCCCCATCCTCACTCCCGCCAGGTGCCGGGCCCGCAGTCACGAGGCCGTGGCGCCGCCCTCCCCCCCGCGCCCCGCGCTCTCCACCCCGACCCCTCCGGGCCGGCAGGGCCGCCCGGTCATGTGAGGCTGGGGCCAGAGCGCCGCGAGCCGAGATTAGGTGGCGGCTTCAGAGACACGGAGACACGGGGACGCAGAGAGAGACGGGAGGGTCACCCCGCGCCCGCCCCGCGGACCGCTCTGGGGGCGGCCGGGGTGAGCCAGGGCGCCCCCCCATTCCTAGTCTGGGCACCTCGCCTCGCTACCCTGCCCTCTCACGGCGGCTGATCCCCTGCCGGAGAGTGGGCCCACTCCCGCCACCTGCCCCTGGCGCCCCCTCCTCGCCTCAGGCTCCCCAGCCCCGACGCTGCAGTGCCACCAAGCGTGGTCGCGCGGGGCTGCCTCAGGCGGCGCCACAGCTGAGCCAGAAAGCAGAAGCCAGCGCTGGTCTTGGCGCTTCTTGGTCCTCCCAGCCCTGTCTGGGGCGGGGGTGGGGGGGTATAAAGCAAGCGGGCGTTCCTTCTTTCCAGCATCCAGAGCTGGAGGTGGTGGGGGGGGGGTGGGGGTGGGCAACCAGGCCCGCAGGGAACTCCCACGGGAGGAGAGAAGCCCCGGGTTGGGACAGTCATTACCTGAAGCCTATACTGTGTACAGGGGGTAGGCTGGGGGGGGGGGGATGGTGGTGTGGGACCCAAACCTGCTGGAGTCACCTGGACCCGGGTTTGCCTCCGGATCGTACTGGGCACCCCAGGCGATGGACCCTCAGCTTCCCCTTCTGTCAAATGGGGACAAGAGTGAAGTTTGGGGAATAAAGCCACAGGGAGGGCTCAGAGCCGGGGGCGGGGGTGAGGGGTGGGGTGGGGGGGAGAGTTGCCGCAGGCTGGGGTGGGGGTGGGGGGCACCGCTGGAAAAGTGTTGACCGGGGACAGTAACCAGGCAGAGAATAGCCCGCCTAAAGGCGTGGAGGCTGGGGCGGTGAGGGAATAACCCAGATGTTCAGACTTTGCAGGGCCTCAAATACCAGGCGTGACACAGGACCTGATCCCACGGGAGGAAACACCCACACCTGGCCCAGATTACAGCCAAATCCCCAGCTCCCCAGCTCCTGTGTCTTCTTCCGGCGTGGGGGAAGTCCCCGCCTGCTATCCATAGCAGCAAGGCCCCGGGCTGGGGTTTCCCTGAAGTCCCCACGCTGGATGACCCTGCCGTCCTGTCCCTTTGAACTCTTTGCAAAGCCCATTTCCTTTGTGATGCCTCTCTAAGACTAAGCAGCACAACTCTGCAGCTTAGCCGAGCTTGCTGGGCAGGACAGAGGCCATAATAAATTGCTACAATTTTTCCAGTGGTTGCTAAGCACCTATTGGATGAATTCACAAAGGTAACCTCACTCGTTTGATTGTCTGGCCCTTGGGGGTGGGGGAAGCAACTATTGACCCTACTTGGTAAGAGGAATCTGAGGATCAGAGGTGGGGGGTGACTTTCCCAAGAAGACACGGCTGGTGGTTGAGAGCAGACACCTGAGGCGGCCAGGCTCAGCGGGCTGGGGTCATGGGATCTAGAAAGTGACCTTTATCCTGTGTCCCCTGTTGCAGCAGCGGGTGAAGCCTGTAGGGGAGGCAGCATCTGGGCTGGAGTTACTCATGGGGCACCTCCTGACCTGGGCACACAGCAGGGGCAGCACCTGGAAAGGCCCGCGGGCTCTGAGGCCAGGGGAAGCAGCTCCAGCCCTCTGAGCCCAGTGGAGGAGAAATGGATCAGAGGGCAGCTTTGTTCATTTACCCCTGGCTGCTGTGGGCATGCTGGGCCCTGACAGGTGCTGTATGGGAAGAGGAGAGGGCCAAGGCTTAGTCTTCCTCTTACCAAGTAGGGTCAATTAAGGACATAGGGGCCCTTTCTGGGCGGCAGGGGAGGGGTCGTGCCGTTGACCCCCACCTGCACATCAGAGGGGCGGTGACTTTCCTGAGAGCCTGGCTGGTGGCTGAGTGCTGGGACTCAAGCCTGAGGGGCCAGGGTTGGGGGGGCAGCCTGGGCACTGGTGAGAAGCTGGCGTGGAGCCTGGGGTGCCTTGAGCAGGCCATGCTGTAGGGCTGATCTCAGGGTCTGAGCCTCTCTGCCCTGGCACCTTGGGCAAGTCTCTCACCTTCTCCAGTCACAAGCAGCTAAACTGGGTGGTGGTGGGGTGAGGGGGGAGGGTTATCGGCCTTCCTTGGCTCCCTGGAATTATAAACCCAGGGGCCAGATCTGTGTGACCCTGGGAATGCCGGCGTCCCCAGCACACCCGTGGCCTTGGAGAAACCCCGCCATCAACAACAGAAGCATCCACATGTTCCAGGTTTTATATCCATACCAGTATCAACGTACCATACAAAAGCTGCCCGCCAGCCTAGCTGGGCAGGCAGGAGGGGGGATCCGCGGGTAGTGTAGAAAACCAGGGCTCTCGTCCCAAAAGAGGAGAGAAAAAAGGGCTTTACAGTCAAGAAAAAATACAATCAGAACCTAACATGATCGGGGAGAAGCCTTGACCCTCCGAGTAGAAGTGCCGAGGGCAGTGGGGTGTGACTGGCACTGCGGGCAGCCCCCCTTTCTGGGAGGACTGCCGCCGGGTGGGGCTGGCTTGCCCGTTTTATCTTTCTTTTCTTTTTGGAGGGCTATTTCTTGGCAGTGGCCCCTTTGTGGGGACAACCAAGTGGTGGTTTCACTTCAGGGTTTGGAGGGGAAGTTGGGGTCTGTGGGGCGGGTCCCGCCCGGCCCAGAATGTCCCGGCCGAGGTGGTTCTTAGAAGTGGCCAAGTAAAGTTCCTTCCTGCCGTGACCCCAGGTCTATGGCTTAAAAATCGGGGCACCCAGGCTGGGGCCGCACAGCCCAGGGGCCTCTGTAAACATGGCAGGTGCAGCCAAGTGGGTCTTCGGGGACCCTGGGGGGGGCGGCGGCTCTGGTGGGCAGGACACAGCGTTCGGGGTGGCCCGAGGGCGGTGCCCACGGGGGAGGGGCGTATGGGGCCGGGGAGGCAGGATCCCCAACCCGGAGACATGGAAGGACAGAGAGAAGGACAGACGGACAGGGAGGGAAGGAGACAGAGTGGCAGGGAGAGACGGAAAGAATCTCAGAGAGAAATGGAGAGAAAGACAGACAGACAGACAGAAAACCCCAAAGACCGAGCCCTCCAGGCCGCGCAGGGCCGCCTCGGCTGGACGCGGGGGCGGGCGCGCGGCCGTCAGCGGGCGGCGGGGGGGGGCCCGGGCCCGGGGGCGCGCACCGGGTGGGCGAGCGTGACGGCGAGCGCATCGTTGTGCTGCACCAGCGAGGCGTGCTGGTAGTGCAGCACCAGCTCCTTCAGCGACCCGTACAGGTTGTAGGGCTCCGCGAAGCCGAAGCCCGTGGCCGTGCGGTAGATGACGCAGTGCTTGGTGTCGCCGTCCACCCTGCGGGTGCAGGCAGAGGAGCCGACGGTCGGGGGGGGGGGCGGCTCCCGCGTGGGTTCTCCATGCTCCTGCTCTTAACCCCCCTCAGGTGACCTCCGCTCGGGATACGCATTGCCCCACTTCCCGGACCCCAAGCTGGTCCAGATGCCGGCACCTCCTGCCTGAACGCTGCCCTAGCTTCCTCCCTTGCCCCCCAACAAGCCCTCCTGCCGGTGGCAGCCATGGGGGGTGGGGGGTGGGGGGCTCCTTCCCGGCCGTTCTTCCCAGAGTCTAGCACACGGTAGGTGCTGCGTGAGAGCAGTCAGGAGTGTGCAGATCCCCCAGCCCTACGCTCGCTCTCGGCGCCCCCACCAGGCACTCACACCACGGAGCAGGCATAGCAGCCCCGCTGGCTGCTCTCACGGATGAGGAAGGTACCATCCCGCTTGCCGCTCAGCATTTCCTCAGCCTGGGTCCGGTTGATCTTGCCCACGTACCACGTGCGTTCCTCATGGTGGGGGAGGTCATCCTCATCCTCCATCAGCGCATACTGGCTGTGCGGGAAGCAGGGAGAGCACCCAGTCATTCACCCTCAAGCCTCTGAGGCTCCCCTGCCGCCTGGACGACTCTCCCTCGCTGGTGAACTCCTACTCATTCTGCAAAACCCACTGAAAACGGTCCCTCCTCTGGGATGCCGTCCCTGGCCCCCATCAGGTAGGTGTTCACTTACTCCTCAGTCTCATTTTTGATCCCCAACCACTCGTTGATTTTCTTCTGCCGGGCGCCCTTCTGGGTAAGCCACCTGGAGGAAGAGGAAAGGCAGGCTCGTTCCACTGCTGGTAGGGGAACAGAGGCTGTAGCACAGCCGGGAAGCCCAGGGTGGGCCAGTGCGGCCGGGCCGGAGCCAAGCGTCGCGGGGGGGGGG